TGTGTGTGTGTGTGTGTGTGTGTGTATGTGTGTACGTGTGCATGTGTGTATTATGTTTCTTGTATGTTTGCGCGTGTAATTTCGTTGGTGTGTTTTCGCGCGTTCGTGCGCGCTTGTGTACGACTTCATTCACCGGTGCCCTAGGTTAGTTTTTCCCTAATCGGATGAAGATTTGATCGAGCTTGAAACCAGGGCACGGCAGAAGGACTTGAGGAGGTCTGGGACGGGATCGATTGTACGCTGTTCGATCTGTCGAGCACAGACACTGCACCTCGCGCGCGGTCCCCGGCGTCAGTAGAATGAATGGGACGCCTTTTGTTATTGTTGTTGTTTTCCAATTCTCATTGGTGGTTGGTGTCTTCACACTGGCGTGATATGGTAAGGCTTTAACTGTTTTAACGTCTTTTTCAACACTTACCTTAGTCCTTTAAGGGGAGGAAGTCAACACGTCGGTTCCGTCTCTTAACTCACTGAGAACGCACTGCTTTGAAATACGACTTACTCTTAAGAAGTGGCTACACTTCCTTATTCACACGGATTTTTTCTATCATTGTCTTATATCTTAAATATGGAAAAGCAACATTCAATAGACGTACTATCAAATATGCACATTCATGGTTCTGATATGTGTAACGTTGTTTTGAAACGTGCCAAAACAGTGTCTTTGGTCTGCTGTCGGACACATGTGCCCGATACGTCTTTAAAGACTTAATTAACGTTTCGTGGTTTTTTTGTTTTAGTAAAAGTTTTGCGGCACTTGCAACACAATAAGGTCTTATAAATGCCGAAGATTAGAGGTGTTACAAGGAAGTAGCAGTCACAAAAAAGAAGGAAGGGATATAAAGACGATAGACGTTTTGACTGGAAAGAAGGAGCAAACCACGCCAGAGCACCCGCCGACCACCCACCAACAAGGTGTGGTTCGAGATAGAGGTGGAAGCTTGAAATGGAAAAACCAACCTCGATGAGGCTTTTTGTCTGATAGTAGAGACCTCCCGATAAAATAATGAAAGTCGAAAGTCCAAATCGTATTCGAATGCTAAACTAACTCAGACAAAAGTGCAACAACAACCTTACGTTCTCTCTCTCTCTCTCTCTCTCTCTCTCTCTCTCTCTCTCTCTCTCTCTCTCTCTCTC